TCACAGGGCCGTCCCTGCCACGGTGGAGGGGAAGTCCTAATAGCAATCCCAATAGGTTCTATGACTGATGGTGACGACAAATGGCGACCACGATGTTGTGGGTTTTATTCTTTGTATCATAGTGGCGATTGGCTGGAATATTTTTATCGAGTTTGCGGGCTGAACCGGTTTTCGTACGGCCGCGGGAAGGGGAAATGCGATCTCGTGCTGCAGCAAGGCTGGGCGGGCCAACCTAGACGGAAGGATGCATTTGCCAAAGGGCCGCACGCGAGACCCGCGTGTGCGGCGCTGTCAGCTGAGATGCGAAGGGAAAGGGAACGGCCGAATCTCACGGGAACGCCCTCTTCCTCCTTCCAGGCGTGGAGACCAAATTCAAGTCGTGCCTGTACCCGGTCCTTCTCTCCACCTCGGCCGTCCCCGAGCTCCTCGCCGTGTCCGTGGAGGAGGCCGGGGGGCTTCGGGTGGGGGCCGCTTGCCCTCTCACCGCCGTGGACGAGGCTCTGCGCCGCCTGCTCAGGGAGCAGCCACGTGAGTATTCCCGCCCCATGACAGTAATGCGAATCGCCCGCCCGCCCAAACAACTTAGCAATTCGTTGCGTTCTTCCAGAGCACAAAACAAGAGCGCTGGCTGCGCTGAGCGGCATGCTCAAATGGTTTGCCGGGAATCAAATTCGTAACGTGGCCGTAAGTCTGAAGTTCGTGTACTCGAAATTTGCTCGTATGAATGTGCTGTGTCGTTGCTGATTCGGTGTTCGCTATGCAGGGCGTCGGGGGAAACATCATGACCGGAAGCCCTATATCGGACCTCAACCCCATCTTCATGGCGTCGGGGTGCGTCTTGGACCTCAGGAGCGCCAGTGAGTATCCGTCGAGGCGGCGACGACGGAGAGCCTCATGATGGAGGACAGCTTTCTCAGACCGCCTCTGTTGCTTCTCAGGCGGGGGCCGGCGTCAACTGCGCATGGACGGCCGCTTCTTCACGGGCTACCGCCGCAACGTGGTGCGCGCCGACGAGGTCCTCGTGTCCGTCCTGGTGCCCTTCACCGACGAGAGGGAGTTCGTTTGCGCGCTCAAGCAGGCTCGGCGCCGCGAGGACGACATCGCCATCGTGAACCTGGCCTTCCGCGTGCAGCTGCGCCCGGACTGCAGCGGGATCCAGGACGCCGCCGTGGCCGTGGGCGGGATGGCGCCCACCACCGTGATGCCCGAGCGCGTCCGAGCGGCTCTGGTTGGAAGGTAGGATTCGCTGGGGTTGCCTACCCTCTAGGTGGGTTCAGAGTCCTCATTTCCTGTGGTTTTCCAGGCCCCTGGACAACGACACCCTGGAGCAGGCCTGCTCTGCGCTGGCGCAGGACTTGCCCCTTGACCCCGGAGTCCCAGGAGGCATGGCGCGCTACCGGCAGGCGCTCGCCCTCAGCCTGTTCATGAAGGCTTACCTGACCGTCTCGAGCCAGGTCCCCGGGCTGCCGCCACTGTCCGATAGACTCGTCAGCGCCACCAGACCCCTGACGGAGAGGACAGTCTCCAGCGCCCAGTACTTCCAGACGGTTAGTATCATTGGGGAGGAGGAGACCTGGGCTGTGAGAGTTCCACGACCCCCATGCCACATCTCTCCCCGCAGATCCCCGGCACACAGGAGAAGACGGACTTCGTCGGTCGGCCGGTCGTGCACCAGTCCGCCTACAAGCAGGCCACGGGCGAGGCCGTGTACTGCGACGATGTGCGGCCCGTGCTCGGGGAGCTCTACATGTCCCCCGTGCTGAGCACGCGCGCGCACGCCCGCCTTCAGGCCGTGGACGCGAGCAAGGCCATGGCCGTCCCGGGCGTGCACGGAGTGCTTACCGCGGACGACTTCCCTCCCGGCTGCAACAGATTCGGCACAGTGATCCCCGACGAGGAGTTGCTCGTCTCAAAAGAAGTACGTGTGTCGTAGGATGAAGGTCTCCTGATTGGGGAACGGTCTAGTCACTTAACTTGTTTTTCTTTTCAGGTGGTCTGTCACGGCCAGCTGGTCGCCATGGTGTTGGCCGTCGACCAGATGACGGCTCGTAGGGCTGCGCAACTCGTCAGAGTCGAGTACGAGGACCTGCCGGCCATACTTACCATAGAGGAGGCCGTCAAGGCCGAGTCCTTCCTCGTGCCCCCCATCGTGATGGCCGTCGGGGACGCCGAGGCCGCCCTGGCCAGCGCCCGACACGTGCTGGAGGGAGAAGTGCGCAGCGGCGCGCAGGAGCACTTCTACCTCGAGACGCAATCCGTGGTGGCCGTGCCCAAGGAGGATGGCGAAATGGAGATCACGGCGTCGACGCAGGCCCCGTCCACCGCACAGGAGCTGGTGGCCAAGGTGCTGCAGGTGCCCAAGAGCCGCGTCGTGGTGCGCGTCAAGCGCCTCGGCGGTGGCTTTGGTGGCAAGGAGAGCCGAATCCTGCCCTTCGCTGGGCTGTGCGCACTGGCCGCCAACAAGTAGGTTCCGCGACCCCCACTCCCTCCGCGCCCGCGCTGCCCGGCACTCACCTCTCTTGGCTCGACAGGTACCAGAGGCCCGTGCGCCTCATGCTGGACCGGGACGAGGACATGGCGTGCTCGGGACAGCGGCACCCCTTCCTCACGCGCTACAAGGTGGCCGTCGACGATGAGGGCCGGTTCCTAGCCTTCCACATGCAGCTCTACACCAACGGCGGCTGCTCCCAGGATTTGACGCCCGCCGTGATGGAGCGCGCGCTGCACCACGTCCAGAACTCGTACCGCGTCCCCAACATGCACCTCACTGGCTACTGCTGCCGCACCAACCTTCCCTCCTTCACTGCCTTCCGGGGCTTCGGCGCTCCGCAGTCGATGCTCGTCGCTGAGACCATCGTCAGGTTGGAGCATAGCAAGCTGTCGGGGTTGGGAGGGATTGGCCCGTTCGTCGCGACTCAAGGGCATTATCTTTGTTCCCACAGGCAAGTAGCAGCCCACCTGCGCCAGGACGCACTCCGCGTGGCAGAGCTCAACATGTTCCGCGACGGCGATACCACCGTGTACAACATGCCACTCAAGGAAAGCACGGTGCATCGCTGCTGGGACGAGGTCCTGCAGCAAGCCGACTACAAGGAGCGCCTCCGGCAGGTGCAGGCGTTCAACCGGCAGAGCCGCTACGTGAAGCGTGGGCTGGCCCTGGTCCCCACTACGTACGGCGTGGCCTTTTCGCTGTCCTTCCTCTGCCAAGCAGGCGCCCTCGTGCACGTCTACACTGACGGCGCCGTGCTGCTCACCCACGGCGGGACGGAGATGGGCCAAGGGCTGCACACCAAGATGATCCAGGTACGTAGTCAGCTCGGCAGAGGATGGGCGACGCAGTCGCTGCATCCTGACCAACGACCAATCCTCTATCGTTCCCTCGCCGTACCCTGCAGGTGGCGAGCAGGGCGCTGGGCATTGACGCCTCTTACATCCACATCTCGGAGACGTCTACGGACAAGGTGCCCAACACGATCGCCACGGCGGCCAGCTTCTCGTCCGACCTCAACGGCATGGCTGTCAAGGTGGGTCTGGGCTCGGGACAGGGATGTATTGCTTTGCGTCTCGCTCGTCATGGTGATGGTCAATGGTCATCTTACTCCCCCACAGGAGGCCTGCGAGAAGATCCTGCATCGGCTGGAGCCAATTCGAAAGGCGAACCCCAAGGGGAAATGGGAGGACTGGGTGCAGGCCGCTTACTTCGGCTGCATCAGCTTGTCTGCCACGGGCTACTACCGGTCCCCCGGCATCAACTACGACATCCGGACCAACACGGGCACGCCGTACGCCTACCACACGTACGGCGCCTCGTGCTCGGAGGTGGAGGTGGACTGCCTGACCGGCGACCACAAGGTGCTGAGGACCGACATCGTCATGGACATTGGCGAGAGCCTCAACCCCGCCATTGACGTCGGCCAGATCGAGGGCGGCTACATGCAGGGCTACGGCATGTTCGTCATGGAAGAGCCGATCGTCGGCGCCAACGGGGCCCTCCTGTCGCGGGGACCGGGCGCCTACAAGATCCCCGGTTTCGGCGACATCCCCTCCGAGTTCACCGTGACGCTGCTCAAAGGCAGCAGCAATACGCGTGCCATCTACTCGTCCAAGGTTCGTCCCTCCCAAAGGCACACCCGCCCCCATCGACGCCAACCGGCCCCTCTCTCACATTGTCCTCTCCCGCCAGGCTGTGGGCGAGCCGCCGCTGTTCATGGCCTGCTCAGTCATGTTCGCCATCCGGGAGGCCGTAGCCGCGGCGCGCGCTGAGGAGGGGCTGACGGGCTGGTTCCAGCTGGACGCACCGGCCACCGCGGCCGCCATCCGCCTCGCCTGCGAGGACCACCTCACCAAACAGGTACTTACGCCGGGCTCCGAGGCCACAGCGAGCGATGGGCGCCTGGCAGGTAGGCACGCCCGTGGCGCAGGCCTGTCCGGCTCGGCGGCCCGCCTTGCGCCTGCAGTTAGCCGCGGGACCGGGAGGAACCTGCGCCGAGCATGCTCAAGCATACTAAAAGGCGTTGTGACTCGCGTATTGCTCTGAAGTGTGATAATATGGCACGTCATGTCCCTTCATTTTCTTTTCTTTCTCTTTTTCAGATCGCAGAGCCTGTTGAAGGTTCTTTCAAGCCTTGGAACATTAGGGTGTGAAGCTGTAAGAGCCACTCGCGCCACCGGTTTCCGATCGTGCGGTTGTCGTCTTGTCTACCCAAAAGTATTTCTTTAGACGTTTAACTTGTACATGTTAGCGTAAGTTTTGTGAAAAAAAAATGTAGAGCAGAATGTTTGTCCAAACGTTTAAAAAAAAAGCAAT